TGTGTGTGTGTGTGTGTGAGAGAGAGAGAGAGAGAGAGTGAGTGTGTGTAAATTCTTTATACAGAATTTACTGTGTGTGTGTGTAAATTCATTATACAGAATTTACTGTGTGTGTGTGTAAATTCATTATACAGAATTTACTGTGTGTGTGTGTAAATTCATTATACAGAATTTACTGTGTGTGTGTGTGTGTGAGACAATGTTGTCTGTTTACACCCACCCACACACACACACACACACACACACACACATATATACATGTGTGTACATATATACATATTACTGATTTTGCTGCTTTTTGATAGTGTTAAAAAAGTGTACGAGAAGATGGACCTGCTGCCGCTGTTTTTGGTCGTTGCCCTCTGCGTTCTTCAGTCCTCCAGCAAACCCATGCTGAAGAAGGACCGCGTCCATCACGACACCCCCCTCAGCAACAATGAGCACAATGATGAGGAGAACTTCAACTACGACCACGAGGTTTTTCTTGGGCAAGAGGAGGCAAAGACCTTCGACCAGCTCACGCCAGAGGAGAGCAAAGAGAGACTGGGGTAAAAACACACCACATTTTGATGAGCTCTTCACTTCAGAAAGTTCCCCAAATCATTCACTCTCTCTTTCTATCTACAGTAAGATTGCAGAAAAGATTGACGAGGATCATGACGGCTTTGTGACCGCTGATGAGATGAAACGCTGGATCAAACAAGCTCAGAAGCGATGGATCTATGACGATGTGGAGCGGCAGTGGCAGACTCACGATCACAACTCAGACGCTTATGTCTCCTGGGAGGAGTACAAGAACGCTACCTACGGCTACATCCTTGGTGTGTGTGATGTGTTTGAAACAATTTGGTTTTCAGTTCGATCTTTTGGACTGACTATCTACTATTGAAATCAAATCCATTTGTTAAGACTCTGTAGTCAATGTCTGACCTGAAAACAACTGATTTAAGTCAAGTCAAAAGAGAAAAAAGATCACATTTACTATGAATAGCTGGAAATCCAGACTAACATCATGTGTTTAGATGAAGCAGATCCCAAGGATGGTTTTAACTACAGGCAGATGATGGCCAGAGATGAGCGTCGTTTCAAGATGGCTAACTATGATGGTGACATGAGGGCCAATAAGGAAGAGTTTACAGCGTTTCTTCACCCAGAGGAGTTTGACTACATGAAGGATATCATAGTGCTGGTACGTCTGGACAATCAGAATGCTAAAAAATGTCTTCCATATACCTTTGCTGTTATCTTTTGTCAGTGTTTACTCACCCTCATGTTGTTCCAGACCCGTATGACAGACTTTCATCTGTAAAGAGGCCGTTGGCAGAATATCAATATGTATATCATAAATCATGATATACACTACCGGTCAAAGGTTTGGGATCAGTAAGACTTGTAATGTTTTTAAAGAAGTCTCTTCTGCTCATCAAGGCTGCATTTATTTGATAAAAAAAACAGTAATCTTGCAAAATGTTATTACAATATAAAATAATGGTTTCTATTTTAATATCCTTTAAAATATCATTTATTTCTGTGATGCAAAGCTGAATTTCCATCAGCCATTACTCCAGTATGAAGTGTCACATGATCCTTCAGAAATAATTCTAATATGCTGCTTTATTATTAGAATTTTCAATGTTGGCAACAGTTGTGCTGCCAAATATTTTTTGGGAAAATTACTTTTACTTTTACTTTACTTTTTTTCAGGATTCTTTGATGAATAAAAAGTTAAAAAGAACACCATGTATTCAAAATATAAATCTTTTCTAACAACAACAATTTAACACATCCTTGCTAAATAAAAGTTTTAATTTCTTTCAAAAAAAGAAAGAATTACACCAGTAGTGTACATTCTGGAAAATATATCTCATTATATAGACCCTTTTAGGGTGTCACAATTACGTCACAGCGCTATCTGGAGGCAAAACAAAGGGAAAACTGGAGGCGGCCAATTCAAACCAGCACAGATTCGGCTTCATAAGGAGCTTAAAATATCATCTTGTTGTGATGTTGGGTGCCAGAATCGACGTAATATGTTGTTATGGGCGCGTCTACAGATTTCTTGCCATATGTCTATGTTTCTTGCATCTCACGACTATGTCGTGTATGAAATAATGTCTGTGTGCATGTGTGTAAAACAACAAACTGACGATTTATATGCTTAATCGTTTTTAATTGTATATACATTGTTGTGGTTAATTGTGACTGGAATAATAATGTAGCTGTAAAAATAGTTGCCAGCTGAAATTGAAATGTATATACATCTTCATGACTAGATAGACGGTGAGTTTGTCTTGAATCCTGTCAGATCGTCCAAGTTTTGAGTAAGCATGTACAGGTCGGCCGATCTGGTTTTGTCCGTTAAAGTTAACCTTTTCAAATAACAATCGCGGTCCCGGACAACGAGTGACTTTACATATGCAGGTAAAATCAGATTTTCTCCAGTCATTGTTAAAAAAACAAGCTAACAAACTTCATAGCTAGCGTTAGTGAAGCAGTCAGGGGAATCTTTCTGCCTCCACCTAAGCTCCGCCCACAGAAAAACGTCACAATGTTTACTAACAGAAAAAGGGTCCATAGAAAATACAATATTTATTTATACATGTAAGTACATTTATATAGGAACATTTGATCAAACAGTTATTTTTGGTTTATTATTTTTGTAATCAAGAACCACTCCAGGCTCCACATTCTGAGGCACTAAACTTCAAATTTGTGTGATGTCTGTATAACTAGATATGCGCAGAATACAATAACAAAATGCAGATTTTATACATGCAATATCAATTGCGGACATATATTTTTGCACCTCATTTTAAAAAAATATTTTAAAAAAATAATAATTTACTCTCACCACCTTTTGTTCTATCATTGTTTGCAGCACATTGTTGTTCATAATGTAGTTGCTCATACTACAAGATTGTGCTAATAACATAAAAATGTTCTAGTTAAGATTGAGGCTGAAAAAGAGTCCAAGACAAGACAGAGTCCACATGCTCCTGAGTCCTTGAACTTGGTTTCTAGGGGCCTGTTTACACCTGGTCACTTCATGCGTTTTCTCTGATCGATATGTTTTGTTAAAATGGATAAAAAAAATTACCCGAGCTCACTTCAATGAAATCAACAGATATGCGCTGCATTTTATTCATCATCAGCTAATTTCAAGATCAAAGTCCCAGACCACCTTCTGAAGTGGTTTGAGTGATCAGATTTAAGTCTATCTCGAAAGCGTTTCAGAGGGCATTTAAACCTGGTCTTTTCACAATTGGATAGCTATCCGATCAGAGAAAACGCATGAAGTGCCCAGGTGTAAACAGGCCCTAGGACCAAAAGCATGAAAATATGTTCTTAAAGGGGTGGTTGATTGCGATTTCACTTTTTAAACGTTAGTTAGTGTATAATGTTGCTGTTTGAGCATAAACAATATCTGCAAGACGCCGTTGTTTACACTACAACCGGAGCACATGCCGCTGAGGCGAGGGGCGGGACGTTGAAACGCGCACTAGAGGCGGTTTAGCCAATCACAACACACTGGGCTAGCTAACCAATCAGAGCCCATCGCCTATTTCTGAGGGAGGGGCTTCATAAAATAAGGAAATGATCAGCGTGTTTCTCAGAGAAGGGACAGAGCGGTGTGGAATAAAGGTAAATTATGTGAAAAATAATGCGTTTTTTAAAAAACGAAGCATTAACGCATGTTAGACTGCACCCCATAAACACAATCAAGCCTAGAAAAAAAACAGTGAACCACCCCTTTAAAGAACTGATTTGAGGACTAAGACCAAGACGATGAAATTGTGATCTTGGACTCAAGGACCAAAACCAAGACTATGAAAATATGGTCTTGAACTCAGAATCGAGGACCAAGAGCAAGAAAATATGATCTTATACTCTGACTCAAGGACCAAGACCTTGAAAATAGGATCTTGAATTCGGACTTGAGGACCAAGAACATGAAGATGTGATCTTGGACTCAAGGACCAAAATTGAGACCATGAGAATATAGTCTGGAAAATGTGGACTCTGTCGTGTCCAACTCTACCCTTTTCTGCTCTTGGTTATGACCCAGACTCAACTGAGTTGCTTACCACATGTCTACAACCAAAGTGAGCATCAGTTAGCCTGTGATTTGTCTCTCTTGTGAGACCCTCAAATGTTGGTCTACGACTGCAAAAACGGTGTTATGAGGGCATGGCCTAAAGTGATTTTAAGAGAAACCATATCTCTGAAATGTCTAATTGACTTCTTTTTCCCCACAGCGAGCCACGCTCATCTGTCCGTTTATTATTTTGAACTCACTTTATTTTTTGTTTTAGTCTTTGTGAGCTAAACTTTATCCTCTTCTTTCCCTCCACTTCACCTCCAAGTATCCTAACTTCACACGGTTTCAGTTCTATTTTAATGTCATTGTCGCAAATATCTGTCTTTGAGTTATTTTTTTGGCACTTGTTGTTTTGTTTTGTTTTTCTCCTCACTGTTCATCTCTGTCCTCTTACGTCCTGCTGTCTGTCTGTCCTGTGCGTTCTCAGAACTGGGCTGTTCACTCCAGATCTGGCGTTTGAAGCCATGGTGAAAAAGCAGGTCATTAAGCTGAAAGAGCCCTGTCTGAAATGTATCGATCTGGTTATTCAGGAGCTCATCAACACAGTCAGGCAGTGCACCAACAAGGTACTGCAGTACCCCAGCCTGGCCACCGGGGGGCTTCCTATGAGGGGGTCACACTACACCTGAGACAAACAGACGGGGCTTTCGGTGGAAAGCACAGAGCGAGAGTCGGAGGTTGTACGTGTTTGTGTGGCGGTGTGACCCCCTCGACCCCCCCGGCTGCCGTGTGCGCTGGCTCTGCTGTCGTGTGTTGGGGTGTTGTGATGGTCTTGTGACAAGGAGATGAGCGGAGAATTTCACTCTCTGGTCATCTGCGGTCTAAAAGGGACGAGCCAGGGGTCCTGCAACATTCTAAGCACCTCTGTAGCCAAGGGTCAAAATGAAATGTAAGGGCTTTTTGAGGCCAGTTCACACCAAGTCTGAAATTTGTTCACAAGATGCTTGCATATTAAGTAAAGGTGGGATCGGTGAGGTCTTAATGATTCGAGTGACAATACACCGAATTTTTGCACCGTTTTTGCATTCAAATGCAATTTTTTTTATTTTAAATTCGACTAATATTCATTCTTTATTCACAATCTCCTCATCACAGGCAGGCACAGCACTCATTACAGCATGTGTTCGTGGGCTGTCTGTGTCACTCATAGCACGTGCCTATATCATGCACTATATCGAAAATTTTTTCTATTGTTATCGATGAAGGTGTATCGTCGATAAATACCGATACCGTTTTATCGCCCAGGCCTAGAATTAACTACATATGTACATGTAATTTCATAATTACTTCAGTGAGAGTACATTGTGAGTCTTTTTCACCAATTTAAATTAACAACTCATTGGTTTGAAGGTCTCTTTAAGATTAAGTAGATCTATATTTGCGTCCGCATATTTGTGTCGCTAACTTTTTTTCCCCAAGCCTAACTTAAGGCGGACACACACCGGACGAGAAGCGCAGCGTCGCGTCACGTCTTTAAAATTCGAACACATTGTTTTATATGCGTGTACACATATCAGCGGCGCCATTCAGCATCTGTCCGTGGCACCCAGCAACGGCTCAGGACATTGTTCAAAACAGTGCGTTCGAATTTTAAAGATGCGATGCGGCACAGCGCTTCTCGTCCGGTGTGTGTCTGGCTTAAGAATACAAATTTTGTGTTTTCTCCACATTGGCTGAAGAATACAGATGTAGAAGAACTATTAAAGTCAGCGTGAAAAGAAAATTCACCCTATCTATTATATAAATACATATTATAGATCTTATTGTGACCAATTAATTAATGCATGTTACAATATGGAAAAAAAGATATGTTGCTACTTCTGTTTCATTGTGATTTTAACAGAACCAAGCGTCGTGAAAACCATTTGATTCCGGTACTTCCAAAAATACAATGAATCTTTGTCACCTTTTTTTTTTGGAGGTCAGTTGTTTTAAAGGGGTCATATGATGCGATTTCAAGCTTTTCTTTCTCTTTGGAGTGTTACAAGCTGATTGTGCATAGATAAGATCCCTGAAGTTGCAAAGACTAAAGTCTCAAAACCAAAGAGATATTCTTTATCAAAGTTAAGACTCTGCCACGCCCCCCTAAAACGGCTCGTTCTAACACGCCCCCACATATCTACCTCACTATGTGGAAATATTAGCACAATGCGGCCCAAATGTGCACGCAAAGAAAGAAAGCATGGTTTCAGTAACCGCAGTTAGTGTTGAAGCAGCCATGTCAAGGAGACGCTGTGTGTTTCTAGGCGAAAGCAAAAGCACTATATTTGGCCTTCCGAAAGTAGATGCATTTAGGAATCTTTAAAATTACTTACAACAGAACAGCAATGCATTTTATGGACGACCGTTTCGTGAACCTAGGAGAGGAGGTAATTCTGACTTTACTATGACAATCTGGCGCTTCTGAATCAGCTACTGTAAGTATGTTTTGTTATTAGTTTAAGTATTTGCTATTGACTGTTCAAATGCGGAGTTTTGCGCATCATGTGTGTGTGTGAGTGTGTGTGTGAGAGAGAGAGAGAGAGACAGGGTCACATCACAGTGGAGTCAGCTGTCTTAACCGTGGCTTGTGTACTGCAAACACATACCAGCTTCATCACTGTGTCTGTCACGCGACTCTGTTCCCCTTTCGGGCTCTGTCTTTACATTTATTTTGAAAGATGAAGCTCGCGATTATGGTAAGGGGCGTTACATTTCCGACGAGTGCTTGCGGTGTTCGGCCAATCACAATGCACTGGGTCAGCTGGCCAATCAGAGCAGACTGCGCTTGTCGGAAGGAGGGACTTTGTAGAAAACGAAGCGTTTGAGAGAGGCGGGGCATAGAGGACCTACAATAATGTACAGTATTTGAAAAATAATGTGTTTTTTTAACATTAAAGCATGTCAACATATTCTGTTACACCAAATACACAAAATAATGATCTTTAAAAAAGCATCATATGACCCCTATAATATTTAATAAATGTACAAATATGTATACTGTGTAGTAGCATTGGAATATTTTTGGTGTGTAAAAATGCTAATATTTTAGACTAGTTATATTGGACGTTGAGTAAACAAGCTTTTCTAGGGTCTGTTTATTGTGGTGCAAAAAAAATACATAATTCATGGATGTGAAAACCTGCGGCTCCCCCTTTTGGACCTAGTTTGTATCTGTTCATAGATAAGCAATGATTAATCAACTAAAAGTTTCCTCTCTTTTTATTCTTCCCCTTCTTTCTCTTTTTCTGTCCTTTTTTTAACACCTCAACACTTCTTCACCCCCCTGCCCACTGGCATCACCCTGACCCCCTCAGAACGGGGTTGTTCACCCCTGATCTGGCCTTTGAGACTATAGTGAAAAAACAGATCCGCAAACTGAAAGAGCCCAGCCTGAAATGTGTGGACCTGGTGGTGTCCGAACTCACCACCCTCGTCAGGAAAAGTGCCAACAAGGTAACCAGGAGCGGCTCGAGATTAGGCGGAGTGAAAAAAACTCCCCATTCCTCCATTTCCACGCGCTGCCACCCACCCAGCTTTCCACCTTTATCAGTCAGCCACGCCCTCTCCGCCACACCCTTAGTGTGTCCATGTGACTCGTTCGAAGTTCTGTTTCATAATGAGTCTTACATTTTCATATCCCATGTGAATCAAACCAATAAAAACCATCCAGATTGTTTTGGAAAAATTGGGCGTTTCCAAGCTGAGTCAGCTTTAGAGCCCCAATTTCAGTGTTTGTCAGTGGCACATCACCCCTATTCACTCTTTGTTGCTTGAGTAGAGCATCAGTGAGCCTGAACCACTGACTGTAGAAGTAAAAGACATACAGAAACAGATGCTTTGCCTCCTGCCCCAGACACAAAAGGCTGCTGCTGTTGTCATAGCAACAAAGAACCATTCACCTGCCATCTTGTGGTCATAGGTGGAACTGCAGTGCATTACTTGATTCTGTCCTCCCTCTCGAATGTCACATACTTTTTGAAATGTTCCCATTCTTTCCTTTCTTAAATCGCTATTTCACTCTCAGTTTTGGAAGAGTCTTGTTGGGCATATAATCTCAAAAAAGTGCAAATATTTCCTGCATTTCACATGCAATTCTTATCACTTCAGATTTATATGTTTTAATAACTAGTGATGGGAATCGTACGGAGTTTACCAATTCTTGCTCTAGTTCCAATTCTACTTGATCGAAAAAATGATTATTTTAGTACATTTAAGCAAGAGCCAAATTATTGATCCTAATGATATTATACTATATACTACCATTATACTATATATTATTACAAAAAATAGTAAATAATTCTTACGAATTAAAATTCTAAACAGTGCTATGCTGGTAACATTTGTAAAATTCAAATCACAACAAAATCTACTATTTGTACACTTTATTTAAGAAAAATATCTGACCATTCACTGACGTGTTCAGGTCGCACTCACTCACAATTGTATGTCTGATATAAAATGCAACTGTCCTCATGTTTTTCAGCAAACGGCATTCGCAAATAAATTTTCTGTCATCTTTGCAGGACTGTGATATGAGAGTGTACAAAGTAACACAATTCTTTAGCAGTAGTGTGAAAGTGAATAGCACATAACAGGCACATTACCGGTATACACATAGATATCTATTGGTGGTACAATATGTGTCATATGACTAAACAAACGTCATCGTTTTCAAAAGCCTTTGTTTTCACAGTCCACACTAGAAGGCGAAAACTGCGTTTTCAGATTTATCCACTTTGGAGAGCATTTCAAAAATCTCAGTTTCCCTCGACAAAAGCGCCATCTCGCTGTGGACGGAAGGGCAAAATGGAGAGAAAAAAGATGCGTTTTCAAACGAAAACATATTAGTGTGGAAAAGGCCTAAACTGAGTTATTGTCTCTTAAGTCCAATGGGTCCAATTTGGTCTCTTCAATTACCAATTTATCAAAAAAGATTAATTGTTAGATACAACTGTTAATTATTGTGTTGATATTCTATTGCTGCTATCGACATACAGTTCTTGGTTTATTTTAAGTCTTAATAGGTCCAAAAATAAATAATGACTTTCCATTCCTCCAAGTCTGTTGTTATTTCATGAACTACTCTGACTGATGCAGTGAGCAAGTGAGCCATTTAAGGTCAATGAGTTTGATTCGTAAGAAGAGTCTAAAGATATAACTTAAACATAACATCTTTTGCCTTGGTGCTGTAGATTCAAGAGCGCAGTGTTCTGGCCGTTTCAGTGGAAGAAGTCATATAATAACACCTAACAGAACAAAATATCATCATCATTTGGCTGTAGTATTTTACAATGGTATCGTAACCGGTTCTCGATTCCCAACCCTAGCATCCCTTAAATTTTGTTTACTGCACTTAGAAGTTAATTTATTGATTCACTGTCCATTCCTGGCTGGGAGTGAATGCTGTCTTACATGCACTACTTGCTGAAATACTCAAATCTTCATGTGTGTGAGTGTGCGCATGCCTGCTCTCTCTTGCATTGGTTCCTCTTTTGCATGGTGGCTTAGCGAAAACTAGTCCTCACATCGACCTGTGTGAAAAGGTCTGATCGTGGTTAGCTCTTACCGCTTTCACATTGCAGAATGTGTGTGTGTGTTTATGCACGTGTGCGTGTGGCTATGTGTACATGCCGTAGCCTGCATCTATCTGGTGTTTTTCCCCACAGCTAGGCTCTTACCCCAGACTGCGAGAAGAGACCGAGAGGATTGTCACTACTTACGTCAGAGAGAGAGAAAACAAGACCAAGGACCAGGTGCGAGACTGGCGAGAGAAGATCCGCTATAACCACTTTGTTTTTTTTTTCATAACTTTTCTTAATGTGCAAAATTGTTTTCTTTACCAGGTCCTTTTGCTGATTGACATTGAGCTGTCATACATTAACACCAACCATGAGGACTTCATTGGATTTGCAAAGTATGTGTAGCATCCAGTGCGGCACATTCTGGGTTTCATTTCTCACCTTAAAGCTTGACCCCTAACCTTAGCAGTGCTTCTTGTGTATTTGGACGTTTGACTGTCTGCAAGACTGGTTTGCAGTGCAGTTTATTCTGACTCATTTAAAAAGGAAGTGGCCATGTGGCCAACATGTAAAGCAACGGTAAAATAAAATGGTATGTAGCCATCAAAAAATTCACAATTTATTCAGGTTCGGGTCAGACTTCACAAATATTTTTATTTTATTTTATCTTATTCTTATTTATTTTGTTTAGTTTAGTTTAGTATAAATGTATTTTATTTGTTAAAAAGTGACATAATATTACAAAAGACTTCAATTTTATTTATTTTTAAAATTACTATTAATCAAAGAATTTTGAAAACATGTATCATGGTTTCCACAAAAATACTAGGCAGCAAAAACTTTTCATAATTGATAATAATAAGAAATGCTTGAGCAGCAAATCAGCATATTACAATTATTTCTGAATGATCATGTGACATTGAAGACTAGAGTAATGATGCTGAAAATTCAGCTTTGCATCACAGGAATAAATAACATTTTAAAATATATTAAAATAGAAAATATTTTAAATTGTAATAACATTTCACAATATTACGGTTTTAGCTGTACTTTTATCAAATGAATGCAGCTTGGTGAGCATAAGAGATTTTTTTTTTTTCAAAAACATTAAAAATCCCATTTCCCTCTTTGCAATTAAATTTTTTCTGACATCCCCATCCTATATTATCATGCTCTTCGGGCATCAACAGCAATATTTAGTTGTATATAGATTTTGTAGGTACTTTCAAGATGTTTTAAACCTGTTAAAGAATCTCTAGAAGTCACGTTTGGACTGTGTCTTCTGTTTACTGTCAGTGCAGTGGAAAAAGTAAAAAGTTCAGATTAGGTCCCTATGCCTGTGCATTATGGCTAACGCATTGGACGTAACATAAATGCACTAAAATTATTAGTGCATGTCTTTGATCTCTCAGAAAACTAGTGTACAACTAAAGACTTATTGCATGTAAAATGTTTGCATGCTCAGTTGGTTACTGTAGAGCATTCAAGAGTTGAGACAAAGGTCGCCTACAGCATCAAGCCTGTCTGACCCTGCTCGCCCTGCGTGTGTCCCTATTCGCATGCCGTGAGTTTGTCAGGGCACCTCTTTTAACGGTTCTCATGCCGTCACTTTCAGTCTTGACTTCAGACGGATGGATGACGGTACCATACCAGGGTACAGCAACAACAGGTGCGCTAGCGCCCCCTTAAACACCCAGTCATCTTAGACAGATGTTAATCAGACCACCCATCTCCTCTTTTTTTTTTTATCCTGCCCCATTCCTCCTTTCTACCTCAGAGCAGAATTGCTCCCACCCAGAGTGCCAAGGAGGCTTACACAAATCATAATTTTACTGTTGTGGTATTCTAACAATACAGACAATGGTGTGCAATCAGTGCGTAATCAGTGTTTTCTGTCTGTTTTTCCCATCTGCAGCGCCCAGCAAAGGAATATCGTCAACAAGAAGAGGGCCATTCCCAACCAGGTACACTTTTCTCTGCTTTCACATGCTCTTCAATCCAAGTTGACACTCCTTCGTTCCAACACCATCACGCCCTCCACCATTCCAATTAAACACGAAAGGGCCTATCATTGAACCCTGAGGGACCCCTTCCACATCACCCCTTTTAATCCTACCCCCTGTAATTAAAAACTGAACAGTATGTTTCCCCAAGGTCTCTATATCTTATAAATGTTATCAACTACACCCTTTTACACAGTGTCCTTACCAGGTGCGACATAATGCAATGAGCGATAAAGCCTGAGGCTTCCATTTAAACCAGAGTTTTTGCCTTTACCGACCACAAAAAGTTATTTGCATCCCCACCTAGAGTAGTCTGTGTAACTATATATAAAGTTGTTTAGCTTGTAGTACTAAATCCTGGATTTTAACAATCATTTTCAAGATTTGGATAATTAAAAAAAAAATAAACGTTCATGTTTTTGTTCTGCTACACAAATGACATAACTGACATCATGACTGAACAGCTCTATGTTCTGGATGGCTGATATTGTGAAGCATAACGCTACAATTTGTGTTGACAGCTGGAATTCTGTCACTGGTTAGGACACAGTATTTATGTGGACTGTTTCATTTGAATGAACATTGCTTGCCACTAAAGAGTATTTTTCTAACCCAGTTAGAAAAATAAATGAGCCTAAAATGGATTTATCATGTATGAAGGTTTCAGTGGAAATGACATAAGCAACTTGAAAGTACACTGTGTTATTAGACGGGGACATTCCCTTTCATTTCCTTCCGCTTTTGAGAAACTCTGCTTTCACTAGCATCACAGCAGTACTAGCTGCTAGTAACACTGACGCATGACAAATGAGTAATCAATGCATTGTTTTTTGTTTCAGTCTTGCCCTAATTTAATGCAAGCTTCCTTTTTCTGTTGGAAGTGTAATTCAGAATGTGCATGGATCCAGCCGTGACAATGACTCAACCTAATAGATAATTCTGATTTGTGGTACTGTCAGTTAATCTAATTGCATGTAACTTTGTTCTGTTGCTCTCTCTCTCTCCCCCTCTCTCTCTGTCTCTCTCTCTGTGTCTGCTTCCAACTTTTTTTTCTCACTGTGACTGTTCTCTGTTCTTTGACTCACTACATCACACCCTTGTCCCCTTCAAACCTTTTCATTTCCATTTGAAAAACGTGTCTTTCTTAACCATCCTCCTGCACTGTCTTCCCTTTCTTGCCTTGCTTGTTTTCTGTGTCTCTGTCTCATTTCTTCTCCCCAAAACTTGCCCCCACCCCCGTCCCTCCTTATCACTGCAGGGTGAAATACTGGTAAGTACGACAAAGCTACAAGCCACGCCCAGTTAGAGGTCACCAGCGCTCATCCAGTCAGGAGAACTGAGGCCGTAACAGGTCAACTAACTCATAATTACCAGTGTGGGTGGGATGTCTGTGTGTAAACTTGCCGGCGAGAATTATAAAGCTGATGGATTTTCTTTCACTCTGCAGCTAGGTGGCCTGAGAGAAGGCGAAGCCGAGAAGGTATAGTCTGGTGGAAAAACCAAAATGATGGAACCTGGAATAAAAATTTTAATCAAGGCTAGGTTTTCAATTTCAGTTACGAGTAATCAGTAACTGACGTCAAATCCACCATAAAATGCCCACTGTAATCAGTGGCATCACCTAACATTTGGTAATTATAGTAATTAAACCGAGAGAACATTACTAACCATTCCTTTGAGAACATGTCACAGTGCACTCTTAATTTCATATATCAGTGTATTTTTATGCATGAAAAGAACCTTTTTTCTAATGAGAAAATGGAGTGAAATGGAGGCCTCGGTTGTCCTGTTGCTGGATGTGAGTCCTGGCGGCCCTGGCTGGGTGAGCAGAGTTTGCCTTGTGGAGAATCAGCCTCTACGTCACCATGGGGATATGGTGGGTGGGTGGGGCCAAGAAAACATCCAATCATACTAGAGAGCAAAACTCAAACCCAATATGACATGTAGAGTGTGTTTGGGTTTTCTATACGTGTATGTGGTGTGCATTTTTAATGACTTCATGCTTTTTTTTCATAGATTTTCAAATACATTTGCCATAAAGAGCTAATCACAATTATTTTCCACTAAAATATGATTATTTCTTTATACTAACAATATGTCTGAGGTAGGACTGGGCTATATGACCAAAAAAAAAAAAAAAATCTCAATATGTTTGAACCTTTTAGCTATATTTAATATCATTGCAGCCAAACAGCCATTTTTGTCAAGTAGATTCAAAAGTAAAACAATAATCATCTAATTAATGTAAGGCATGTTTTTTGTTTTTCACTAAATGAAGAGTAACTAATTTAAGAATTTAAATTCATATGCTGTGTAACAATTCAGAGTAATAAATAAGCATTTACCTTTAGATTTGTTTATTTGCTTTTAATAAATGCAAAGTGCCACGCAGAGCATGAGCATTTTTAAGGTGAAAAATCATTGAATCATAGTTTTGAAACCATTAAATGAAGTGGGCAGAGTGAATTGAATTGGAATTCCAATTACATTTAATTGAATTGAATCTTAATCACAAAACTAAACCTTTTAGAAAACGTAATGGCCAAATGAAAGTGTCTTAAAGTCATCACAATAATAACTTGCTTAATTTTATATCTACACCAAGCTTATTTTAGATCATCAAAATATTGCCCAGCCCTACCATAAGAGTTAGCTGGTATTTAGTTGGGGGTTTTTTTTTTCTTTCTTTTTTTCTTTTCCCCTTGGTGTGCCAGTAATGACCAGAATGTGGCAGTATCGGGTTCCTTTTGCTAATCAATTGACTCTAATTTAATAAATTAACTGCTCAACCTTAGAGAAATCCTTTCTGGGGCAAAGTTAATTGGGGGATTTCTGTTGGGGTAATTAACAGTCGCCTCTCACAGGTAATCATCTCATCTTTAATTCAAAACCATCCCTTCTATCAACAGATTTCTGTTCAATTAAATTTCTGATTGCATTTTGCCAACTCTTTGATTAACTTGTTGATAATTATGCATTTTAAATGTACATAATATTAGGATTAATTGGTGTAATTTAGAGACAGCAGTCAGAATGTGCAACGTGGAAGAACGGTGAAATCCAAACACAACAGAAAATAGGGTCATGCTCTCATTTCTTTCAGTTGTGGGCGGCAAAGGGAAATTGGATCCATGTTAGAGAATACAGAGCCCGAGCCAGGCTCTGACCACGGATATTTGCTGGGTTTCTGTCTAATGAAAAGATATTCGAGAGCGTTTTTGTGGTCTTTTGTTCGGGTCGCTACAGTACATCCTAGCACGAGACGCCTGAGCCGTACTGTCCTGGTGTTTTTTCTTCTCATCAATTCTCTTCTGTCATTTTCCCCTCTCAGAGATGGTTATCAAGTTTCTTAAGAAGGTTGATGGCATTTCCCCACCAAGGCAAACAATCTATATAGCCTGCCATAGCTTTATGTCTGCATTGTTTCTGTTGGCACTCTCTAACTCTAACTCTAACCCCCTCCTCTCAGTTTGACTCCGTTTTTACGGAGAACAAAGCAAAATGGAAAGGGAGCAAAGGGATAGTACCGCAGAAATGCTTGCAGTACATTTTGCTGTGGTATTTCTTTCTTTAATGGAAAAAGTTCAGTGTCATTGATGCCGTGTGGTATTACGACGTAAGATGTAGTACCGGAACGGAGCTGGAATGTGCATTAATAATGTAAATAAGATTAATTTTGATCAGTGTTCCATAATCCTTGAGTTACAGACCATTTTTAATCCTCAAAAATAGCACTGAGATTCCTTTACCACTGAAATCTGGAAGCCCTTTCCCTCCCGTTTCCTTGACTAACCCTGTATTCCTCCAGCTCCTGTACCTTTTCTCTGTTTACCAGTACAACCCGCTTACCTGTATCTTCTCTCACTATTCCTTCCCGTTCAATAGGTTTTCACACTTGAGTGTTTGTCTTTCTCCATTTAATACCACTAACGGCGTTCTCCTTTGTTTACCAGCTTGTAGGCTTTATTTTACTCACTAATTTGACCCTAACATACCACTGCTAACCTCTGACCCCTGTTCCTGTGACAGGCCAGTGGGTCTGGATGGCATCTGCCGTCACGCTTTCTGTGCTTTAGAAAGAACTGTAGAGGGGAAAAAATCCACAAGCACAACAAAATTGTTCCTTTGTTCTTTTATTGTTGCTCTATTTCAAGACACTCCCCAGTGGTTTTGTTAGTGTATATTCAGAGTTTCTAGAGCATTTATTTGTGACTAAGCTTTAATTGCTGCCTTATGTTCTGACTCCATGCAGAGTAGATACTGTAGTCTAGTGGTTCCCAACCTAAAGCTAAATGCGAATAATAAAGTGCAAATATAATGGAATTTTTGCTAATATGCTAATACTGATACAACATATTGGTTTATGTTGGTAAATCACACCACTGCTGTTCTTCATGCAGTTACAGTAATCACTTTTCTGGTTTAACTTATATTTATTTGTATGTTAATATTTTTGCATATCGATGGGCCCACATTTTCCATAGTTCGGCAAATTTTCACATACGAAATGTAGTAATTTCAAAAGGAATCTATGCAATTGGGAATTTTGCGTGAGGGCGGAAGATTTCCACACGCAGATTCGCTATGTTGACAAACATAATGCTTTTTGTTTTAAAAAAGTGATTTCTGTGGTATGCATTGCTATATCCCTTATGAAAATTAACTATGTTTTGTACTACAATTAAAACCAAAAAACATGGTTTCTATAGTTAAACCATAGTAACAACAAATTAACCATGGTTTCGCTGCACTAACCATAGTTTAACCATTGTATTTGTAGTAAACTGTTATACAATTAATAATCAATACGCCAAAAAAGCATGGTTACTACACTTTTACTATAATAAAACCATGGTTAATTTTCGTTAGGGATTGGCAATGAAACTTACTAACAATGGACCTTTTTGGCCTAAAAAAGTTTTAACAAAATTGAAAAACAATGGACCATTTTGCCTGCAAACTTTCAGTGAAAATTAAAAAAAAAAAAAGGGACCAATTTTGCCTGAAAATTTTCAGTGAATTTTCAAAAACCAGTTGAGAACCACTGCTGTAACGTACAAAGCATAGTTATTTAGTTAATCACGTTAGCCACATTAGAAGGCAACCAAACTTACACAAAATATTTCCATAGCAGGCAAGCACAGGTTTGCACAATAGAGCTTTCAGGTTTGTTCAGCATAGGACACAAGCTTTCCAGCACAAAGACTGTGTGGATCTCATAAATGTTTCCCCACTCTTGTGGCATGCCCTACACCCTCCACCCCCTCCATCCTCTGTCCCACAGGTGATCCGTAAAGGCTGGCTAACCCTCAACATCAGCATTATGAAGGGCGGCTCCAAGGAGTACTGGTTCATCCTGACGGCCGAATCGCTTTCCTGGTACAAGGACGAGGAGGTGAGATTCATCTGTTCTCCATTTCTCGTTTACAGTCCCTTCCATTTTCGCTTGAGCTTAAAACTTGTGCCACTCAAGTTGGGCTCAGACTTCATGTGTGTTTGAAATTAGTGCAAACGTTAGCTGTTTTCCAAAGTTCCTGTGGCTTGACTGGTAGAGTGTGGTGCGAGTAACATCAAGGCCTTGGGTTTCATTCCCAGGGAGCACATAAATGTATGAATGTGTACTTTGATGCATTTGGCAGACGCTTTCATCCAAAGCAACTTCAGTGTATATGTCTCACTTTATTCCCCAAGAGAGATTGTTTATATGTAAAATCCCCCCCTGTCCAGCAGCGAATGGTAGAGTCCTTTTGCTCGAGCCACGGGTGTGTGTGTCCCTGCCCAGCCTAACCAATGTGCGGACTACTGTTCAGCTGCAGCATGATGAACAGGTAGTCTGAACACTGGGCAGGCGGGGGGGAGGAAAGAGGGCGGCTGGACGCTTAAAAATGAAAATGCGGTCATTAAGTCGCTGTCATGTCGTTCCAAACCCATATAATCACAAAAGAAGATGTTTTGAAAAATCTTCAAGTAGCACTTTTCTATACATCCATTGTTATATATCGTATTTAGAATCTCTGAACGCTGCAGCTTTTGATACCACTGTGAAGTGGTTTACAAGATTGTTGCAACTCTCCCTCTCTCATCCCGCTCTACTAGGAAAAAGAGAAGAAATACATGCTTCCTCTGGACAACCTGAAGCTCAGAGACGTGGAGAAAGGCTTCATGTCCACTAAGCATATTTTTGCAATCTTCAACACTGAGCAAAGGTCAGGGCTGACTGCAACTCTCTGTGTTTGTGTATTTTGGTTTGGCGTTTGGCCGCTTCATGTGTTCGATCCCCCTCGCAGGAACGTGTATAAGGACTTGCGTCAGATCGAGCTGGCCTGTGATTTGCAGGAGGACATGGACAGCTGGAAAGCTTCTTTTCTTCGAGCAGGCGTTTATCCTGAGAAAGATCAGGTACTAATGTTCAGTTTGAACACACGTACAATCTAAAACACTCTGCATGCCATTATTGAGAGTTCAAAGTCTACACATTTAAAGGGTTAGTTCACCCAAAAATGAAAATTAGGCTGTGTTTTACTCACCTTCAAGGCA